CGTGCCTGACTTGGAGGGTCCTGGTCCCAGCACACAGCTAGGCTTCCCTTTCAGCTCAGGCACCTGTCTGCTCAATGGGTGGAGGATCTTGGCCCAGGTGCCTGCTCAGTGTGGGGAGTCCTGTCCCGATGCCTGCTCAGTGACGAGGGTCCTGACCAGGTGCCTGCTCGGTGGGGGGCATGGTGGCAGCACAGACACTACCCATCCCCCAAGGTCCCTTCCACCCATGCCTCTCACCCAGATGGCCGTAGCCCACCACGGCCCTGGCTCGGGACCCGAGGCGCGCACGCAGCTCCACCACGAGGTCGTAGAGGCGATCCACGGGCAGGGAGAGGTCGTACTTGTACACGTAGCCGTCTCGGCTCAGCGCCTCGGTGACCCGCTCCCGCAGGGCCCACAACACCTGGGGGGAAGAGCATGAGTATGGTACAGGACCAGGCTGTAGCTAGTGCCACATCACAGGGGAGAAACGGAGAGGGGCAGAGGTGTGGGCGAACACAGGTGTCCACGCCACCTACTGCGTGCCTGCCTGAACCAAGGTGGGAGGTGGCCCAGCCTCAGGGCCAGCACCAGAACCAACAACGAGGCTGCACATCAAAGCGGGGGTGGGAGTGGGGGGGTACCAGCTGAGTTGACAGAGCCTGCAGGGGAGGCACAATAAGCAGGACCCCCACACACAGCCCCCAGACCTGGGGCTGGCCTCGGGGAGCTGGTCCATAACCCTCCCAAAGTGGGAGCCAGGAAAAGGCCCCTGGCCCATGACCTTGACCCCCAGCAGGTCCCTGGGAGTCCGGGAGTCCGGGAGTCTGGTTCCAATGCAGACTCTTGTCCCCTCCCCCAACGGACCTCTGAAGTATAGGAAAGTCTGGGAAAACTAGAAGGTTCAGTGGGAACCAGTCTCTCCCACCCCTCACCCCGGGGGTAGAGATGGGCAGCCAAGGCCCACGCAGGAAAGCTGCCCACTTGCCATCTGAGAGAGTCCCGGGTCAGACACCGAGGACAGCCTGTGAGCAGGGGTGGGTAGAAGGCATGACAGGGTGCTGGAGGGTGTGTCCAGACGGGGAGAGCTGACTCAGGGTGAAGAGGGAGGAGGCAGCGGGCAGAGAATGAAGGAAAGCAGAAAGGGACTGAGGTTTCCCCTGGACAGTGGCCAGGGACTCAAGCCTGAGATGGTGTGCGCGCACACGCATGCACACACACACACACACACACACACACACCACTCCACACCAGCCTCTCCCTGCGTGCTCCTGCCCTCTGCTGGCCACCCATGATTCTGCAGCCCAAGGGCAGTTCCCCCTGAGGAGCAGCTAGTGGTCCCCAGCCGACACATTACCATGGCACCACCGGCTCCCTCCCTCCCGCCAGCTGGTCTGTCAGAGTGGACAGCAGGGGAGTGGGGGCCGGGGAAGGAAGGCCAGCAGCCCACAGAGCACCTTGGTCTTCCTCTCGTCGGTGGCCACAGTCCCGTCTGTGACCGAGCCGGAGCCCAGCGCGTGCTCGAGGAAGGCAGCCAGCTTGGCCCCGTCGTGGTCTGCACTGGAGCCCGAGGTCTCCACCAGCACATAGAAGGGGCTCTCTGCAAGGGATGGGGGGGCCGGTCAGGGGAGCAGCTGGCAGTCAGAGCAGCCTGTACGCCGCACCTGCCTCTCACACTGTCCCCCGATACCTGCCCCCGCACCTGTCCCTTCACACCTGCCCCTCACTGTCCCCTGATACCT